GCACCCTACCCTTACAGCGTACATGTGATAGAGGCTGGGAGGAACCTAGCAATAAAACGGCTGCAGTTTACTTTCCAGGAATTTTTTAACCTGAAGGTTTTCTTGGCAAGCTACACTAACTTTTCTACCTATCCAAATTTGCACAAAGTAAATGTCAAATAGCAGTTAATATAAAAAGTATAGTACTTACTGCTATAATCACCATATCCATAGTAGTTGTTGTAACCAGTGTAGTCATATCCTCCATAACCACCGTAACCTTGGCTGTTATATCCATAGTTGCCATAGCCTTGATTCCAATAGTTACTATATCCCTGGTTCCAGTTTTGACTGGGGCCTGCAGCACATTAATAGGTTCACTAAAGTCAGATCAGCAAAGATCTTTACTTCAGGATAAGTAAAAGCAGAAAAGCTTAAGACAGAGTAAACTTAGACTATAGCTTACCACCACCTCTTCCACGAGCTCTTCCTGCAAACCCTCCTCTAGATCCCCACTGCTGCTGTTGCTGATACTGTTCCTTCGACATGGCTACTTTTATTTCACACTAAAAAAAGAGAAAAAATAAAATTATTATATTGACTAAAGAAAATGACTGGAAACATCAGAACAGCTGATACTGTTTAAATTAAGCTGCGTAACCTCGTCCGACCTTCCACCCCAGTTTCCAGTTACTCGTTGTAACTCGGGAGGGGGCACCCTCGCTTCTGATGTGAATGATCAAAGAGGTACTTGCTAAAAATCTACTACTCGTTCTGTTGGGTCCTAAAAATTTATTTGGTAAAAGTTTATATAAAATACATTTTAATGCTGGTGGTGACACATGCCTTTAACCCCAGCAGATGGGAGGCAAAGGCAGGCAGATATCTGAGTTCAAGGCCACCTTGATCTACAGAGCCAGGGATCTGTGTGTACAGAGAAACAGCCTCAACAAATAAATAAATAAACAAACAAACAAACAAATAAATAAAATACATTTAACAAACAAATCCCTGCTGCTCACCAACGAAAGCAGATAGTTCACTGGTGACTTCAGCTAGTAGACTGTAAGTACAAGCAAGCAATTTGGATCCGACAGCCCAACACTGCACCACAAGTTTTCTGGGCCACTCACTCAATAACTGAACTTACTTTACTAAGACCAACATTGTGGTATTTCTTTTCCATTATCTTCTTCACTGGTTCCTCTTCCTTGAAGGTAATAAAACAGAACCCACGCCTCTTATTGGTCTTGTTGTCCATGGGGAGCTCTATGGATTCCACCTGATAGCAGGGAAAAAAAGAAGACTTAGTATTCTAGTTTGTGCTCTATTGTCACTAATAACAAATTTACATAGGAGGAGGAGGATGGCAAATAAAACACATTTCACTCTATTCTGCTGTCTCCCCATTTTTCTAATCTTTGGTGATTTATCAGTCTTTCTAACTAACTCAAAGATCACAAATGCAGAGCCCCACAAGAACAAAATAAGACAATAGTCATCTTGAAAAAAAAAAAACAAGAGGGAATCTGCATTTGAGAAAGATATGATGTAGTAACAGGACTACAAACTGGAGACACAGTGGCTGCAGCTACACAGGTAGGCAGCAGCAGCTCCACTTTTGCTTGCTCCTATAATCGCATAAGAAAACCTATATACCCAGGCTTTTTATGTGTAATACTTAGGAGTATTAGGCATTCCATTTTTAAGCCCTAAAACAAAAACATGTATTCTTATTTGAATTGAGTAAGAGATGTCAGCATGTCGTCCTTGGAGACCAAGGCCACAAACAACTTGGCTTAGCTTTGATTATTAATTCATGAAAGGAACTGATAGTTCACTATTTCAGTATGTCTACAGTCTCACTAAATTGGCACTTATACATATTTAAATTGGTAAGTTACTACACTACTCTGATCTTATTACTTTACTATTCTTAAATCCTTTTTATATTTCAGGTAACTTAATCTTGACTTCCTCCTCATACTGCCTGTACTTTTCTTCCTTCTAAATGTTCTGAGTTAAGCATGCTGTACAACCCAGACACAATGGGTCATTCCTGTAGTTTATGTGGGACAGAGGCAGGAAGGTGTCTTAAATTAAGGAGTTCAAAGAGAATAAGAAAGAAAAAGTTCAAGGACTGCCTGGGTTTCCTAACAGACCCACCATCTAAGTGTCCAGTACTTTACATATGCACATGCTCAACAAAAGAAAAACGTTCCCTAATCTTCAGATCTGCTCATTCAATTTCCTTATTACAAATTTTCGCAATTCTGAAAAACACAGTGGCCAAGTCCACTTAATGTACAATTACACATTAATTTTTGACATAAACACACATACCTCACCAAAACCACCAAAATACTCTCTTATTTTCTCTTCTGGTGTATCTGGAGAAAGGCCACCAACAAAAATTTTTTTGACGGGCTCTTTTGTTTTCATGGCTTTGGCCCTTTTAGGATCAATGACTTTCCCATTCAATTTATGTTCTTTCTGATCCATGACCTAAGAAAATTAAGTTTTTCACTTTAATATGTAAAACTTAACTATTGTACAGAAATAAACTACTTCAGCTAATACAGACTAGTGCCCAAGTATAAAAGTCACTAAGAATGATGGAGGGAAAGTACCACACCAGTTGAATTGATTACTAGGTAACCATCACCTTTAACTGATAAACAATGGTTGCTAATGACTTAAATTAAAAAGTTGATTGTTGTATAGGTATCTGCCGGTGTGAGGGAACTACTCTATTCAGAGACTTGAGTGAGACAAATTGCTTGTCTAACAAAAATGTAAAACAGGCACTTTCTGCCAACTTGTCATACTTTATCTTTTTAATTAGACTTTTAAAATTCCCCACTACCTTCTTGAAAATGTCTGCTGGGACTGAACATAGACCATGTGCTTATTACGCCTCAGTCCTTTTTAAAATTACTTTTAATTTAGAAAGGCTGGCACATGGAAAGTATTCAGCAAATAATTCCCAAATCCGCCTCTCCCTTCAAACACAGGGTGTGTTAATGAACCTCCGCTGTCCCAGCACGTGGACAGCAGAGGACAGGAAATTCAAGTAATACAGCCTGGGTCCAGTCCAAGACACATGTAACCTTGTTTCAAACAAGAATGTAAGAAACGTGTCTCATCTTTCTCATGAAAAGAACCCACAAGTAACATACAAGTTTACTCTATCAAATTCTCCATGTTTCATTAATCAGAACATATAACACACTACCTTATCTACACTCTCCGACTCTTTAAATAGGACAAAGCCAAAACCCCTTGATCGCCCTGTGATAGGATCTAACTTCAGAGTGCAGTCTACAACTTCACCAAATTTGGAAAAGTAGTCCTTCAGATCTTTCTTTGTAGTGTCCCAGCTAAGGCCTCCTATAAACATTTTCCTGTAAAGACAAAAAGCAGTATTAAAATGCTAAGAAAATTAAACCTTGCCTTGTATTTACTCACATCAATAACCCACCCTTTTCAAACTACATTTATTCAGTACAATAAAATATTATTCTTCCTACACAAAAACACATATCAAAAAACACTACTGTTTAAAGTTCCACTTAACATTGCCCCTTCTGATCAACCACAATACTAAGCAAGAAGCTAATTGCTGGTATTTACATACATATGCATATATATAAAAAAAAATATATATGCATGCATGCCAAATAAAAGTATTAATTAGTTTTTTAAGGGTAAAATCTTGGCTTCTAGATCTTAACAAATCTTCATTAACCATGTCAAGGGCTATGCTGCAGTCTCCAGTGTGGCAGCCCCCAGCACACTGTCTATGCTGAGACTCCTTTTCTACTTTTTAATAGTTCTCCCATCTACAGAACTCTTAGAACATAAAATGGAAAAATGCTAAGTCCTCCAACCTGAACTAGCCTTTTTCACTTCTGAGAGTCCTTAAAAAGAAACAAAGTAATCACGTAAACTGCATGGAGAAAGAATTACTCACTGAATCACATCTCACTAACTTAGATGATTTATTTACTTACAGTAGAACCTCAGCTAACAAGTTATGAAATGCTTAGGCCTATAAAATGGTAAATGGAAAACACCCAAGAAAAGGCCATATAGAGAACAAATTAAGTCTCAACATACAGTAAAATGCCAAAAAGCAGTTCTGGCAGCAGTTGTGATCCTTTCTACATCTGCTTGTTTTACCAATAAGTTAACAGCAGTAATTATAAAAGCACATCTGTACCTTTTACTTTTACCCTTTAAGAGTCAAACTAAAAATATAAGTTGTCAAAATTAGCCCTATAAGGCTAAAATTTTCACTTCAGAGATAAAACCATGCTTGCTCAAGATGTTCTCACCTTCATAACTTGGGGCGCGCGGGGGGGGGGGGGGGGGGGGGGGGGGGGGGGGGGGTTTGTCATGAAAAGAGATGGGGAAGATAAGGCACCAGCTCTCAGCTCTGCAAACAGTAAACATATTCCCACTTTGACCTTTAACAGGCTGCCACTACAGCCCACTGGGCAGTAAGATGCTCATCAATCTCTTTATCTTCACCTCTAAGGCATCCAGTTAACTGAAATGTTTTTATTCTTACCACAAGTTTGTTTGAATTAATGCTAATACCAAAGCTAACTTAGTACAAATAAACTTACTTCAGGTGACATTCAACTCTTTCCATTTAAAGTTAGATTTTCAACCTGAACATATTACAGAGCGGGCCCCAATTTTCAAGACTCTTTTAGTCCTAAAGTAAGACTTATAATCATTTAGTAATGTTATAATCAAATGAATATAACCAAAGTCCATTATGTACTTTTAAAGTCTGTTTATTGTCAATTCCATGGAAAATTTAAAACTTCTCAATACATGTTTCTTTCAACTCCTAATATATAACCCTTATTTAATAACCACTGCTATACACACAGTATTTTTTACCTACAGGACCAGAATACAACTTTCATAAGTGAAAATTCATTACCAACATGCACCTTTCAAAGTGAGGCAGATGCTAGTTTTTGTTTTTCGAGACAGGGTTTCTCTGTGGTTTTGGAGCCTGTCCTGGAACTAGCTATTGTAGACCAGGCTGGTCTCAAACCAGATGCTAGTTTTTAAAGACAAGGATATTAACTACAAAGCAATGGTCTCTTGCTTAGATACCGTTAAGTTCTACAACAGAAACAAATTCAGCTAAATTTAACTACCTAGTAACCATTTCTGTTATTACAGAATTTCCACATAAATAACTGAAGAATTTAGAATTATTTTGGTCTAACTAAACTGACATCCTAATAAAAGACAGTGTAAGCTGGGCGATGGTGGCACACGCCTTTAATCCCAGCACTCGGGAGGCAGAGGCAGGCGGATCTCTGTGAGTTCAAGACTAGCCTGGTCTACAGAGCTAGTGCCAGGACAGGCTCCAAAGCCACAGAGAAACCCTGTCTCGAAAAACCAAAAAAAAAAAAAAAAAAAGACTGTGTATAGGGTAAACCTGAAAACCAAGAAAAGTCTGTGTAGTCCATTTCCCAACTACCAGGACAGAATTTGTTTTTATTTCATGAAAGCAATGTATGGGGGAAAGTCCTCAATTTAAAATTGTTATATATACTTCCGAATAAAAATAACACAGAGGACTGCAGAGATGGCTCAGCAGTTAAGAGATCTTCCAGAGGACCCAGGTTCAATTCCCAGCACACACTTGACAAGCTCAGAGATATCTCTAGTTCCAGTTCCAGGAGATTCGACACCCTCATGTAGAATATAAACAGGCAAAACACAGCACATGCTAAATAAACAAATCTTCAAAAAGAAATCACACACAGAATGAGGTGCCTACTATTTTCAAACCACATAACTGCTGTTTAGATAGGAAGTTAATTTTCTAAATATTAGATATGCATATCAAGTCACCAACTGACCCAATGGCCTAATGGAAGTGCACTCTTAATAATAAACAAAAACCTTCACACTCTTAATATAGAGCTAAAACTGTTCACTGAAAACACATTCTATAAACAAACCTACTTTATCCAGAATATTAAATATTCTGGTCATCTTTTAACTTTTTATACATTACATAGTATTACCTTTTTCTCCAAGTACTGTTTGTCCTCCCTAGTCCTGCAACTGTTTTCTATCTCCAACTATTTTAAATGAAATGTTTTAAGACTATTTGTGACGAGGTCTTACACTACAACTCAAGCTAACTTCAAATTGATGCCAATTCTCCAGCCTCCAAATCTAGTGGAGCTCCCACAATTGGCTCCAAGGAATGATAGTCTTCAACACAGCAGTCGTGATTTAACAGCCTACGGACCGGCCATCTCTCTTAAACTACCGTAGTTATGTTCATTTTCTCTGAAGCAAGCTACTAATACATCAGGTGCATCTCACTTGCTTAGCTTTTAGAACACAGGTTTTTTAGGTTTTGCCAGCAAGCAATTACTTTTTCTATAATGACTATTAATCTCCCTTCCAAGCAAGTAAAGAGGCCAGGTAACATGTTTCCAAATCTTCTGTGAAATTTAACATCTTCTGAACTAAAGCTTAAAATTAGTATTTTGGTAGTACAATAACCAGAAAAGCCAATACATTGCAACAAACATTGTATGCTATCTTTACTAAATGGGAGTATGAAGTCCGCCCTATTTTTAGTCTGTAGGCACAAGCTTTAACTATATAGTATGCAGCCTAGTGGGAGAATGTCTGCTAAACTTTTTTTTTCTTTCTTGGTTTTTCGAGACAGGGTTTCTCTGTGGCTTTGGAGCCTGTCCTGGAACTAGCTCTGTAGACCAGGCTGGTCTCGAACTCACAGAGATCCGCCTGCCTCTGCCTCCCAAGTGCTGGGATTAAAGAAAGGTGTGCGCCACCATC